GCAGAGTTCGGTTAAGAAGCTGCTTCTGCGCAAATTTGGGGAATGAACTTAATGTTTAGGCAATGAATCGGGCCTGTGATCAAGCTGCAGAAGTCTCTTTGGATGGAAAGAGTCAATGTGTGAACCATTAATTGTATATTGGGTATTTGCATTTGATTTACTGGAAGCTTAATGAAACTTGACTAAATGGATAATGCTGTCAAAATCAGTTTTGTAGTTAGTTTGTTGGGAGGGGAAGGAGATAATATTGTTTTCTCAGCCAACAGTTTGGCTCTAGGCCACGTGCCATCAGGGAACACAGTTCAATAGGAAAAAAAAAAATATGTTTTTTAAAAATATTATAAATTGCATCCATTTCTCATCCCATATCTTTGATTTTGTCCCTTTGAATTTAGGATTAAATGAAAAGCAGACCCCACACAAATGTATGGCAAATCCTTACTTAGCTCTTCATGCTTAAATAATTAGACCATGTTAGTTCAAATACTTGTAATGGAATGTTGTCTCTGTCTACATCAATTAGTGTTACAGCAGCATTAATATAAAAGATAGAACTTTGGCAAGCATGGCCTTGCTAGCAAAAGCAATTAGAAAAAATGACTTCTTAAGGATCTTTATATTTTTATTTAGTTGTTATTTAAAAATAAATACATTAATGAAGCCATAGCACTTGAAGCTCTTCCTTATTTTTTTCTGACGTTGACATCTAGAGAATTAATTTAATGTATTTTTGTGCACATAAAGAACAGATTTGAATAAGTATGCTGAGTTTAAATTTTGGTTTCGATGTGAGAACACACTTTAAATTGTCTGCCGTCAAAATTATTTCTTTTGAAGTTGCTAGTCCTGAAGTTCCACAACAGATCCTTTAGTTTTAGAGCTTCAAAACTAGAGATTTTAAGATTTTTAAATGGCAAAACACTTTAATTTCCTGTCTCTTAAGCAGCTGGAAGCAATACAGTTTTTAAGCTTAATTCTTTAAATGCTGAGAACTCGGACATAATTTTAATGCAATCCTTCCTTGTCCCTAAAATAAAAAAATCTAACCAAGGCCAAAGTAGGTATTTTCTCTGCTGTTCAGGGAAGAAATGAGGGTCATGCTCGTTACATTCTAATATAGTCAGAAGAACACCATAGATGTGAAAGCATTAAGTGAACCTTCTGGGGCACTCAAGATGATGCCAGTATATTCCCTCTTTTCTCTTAAGGTTCATTTCTGCAAGGTACTGAGTTTTAACCCTATTCTACCAAAATGTTTGAGTGGGATACCCGCAGAGTCAGTGGTGCAGTTCACCCCACTGAAGGCTATACCTGTGTTGCCCGAGACTGGGGTAAGAGTACTCAGTGCTCTGCAACTTAATTCTGACTTCTGGTGCTCTCCAAACATCCCATAATCTGATGCCTTGCGCTGCTTAGTAACTGACATAAATGTCACAACCCATGGCAGGTGATTACTGCCTCCCTTATTATTGATAATAAGAAGTCCAAGACATTTGTAAGGCCCTACAGTGAACACAGTTGACACGTGTTTCCTATATTATTTTTGATATTGGACTTCTGAGTAGCTAATTCAAATTCACAATACAAAGCTCCTGTTGAATCAGCTCTTTTAAAAATCCTCCTTCGTTCCCGACTGTATCCTCCCAAAAGAGGTTTCTGTTCCTACTTTTCCTATGGAACCCTCTGTGTGCTTTCTCAAAAAAATTAACGGCTCTCCTGCTCCCCTTTTTTTCCTGTTCCCTGCATAGTCATCTTTTTGTGTGTACCTTGTCACAGAGTGTTACCCTAGCGTTGCTTTTCCCAGAAGTGCCGCTGCAGCTTCCTTCCCTGTGCATTCTTTAGATTCAGTTAGTCCTTACACTTTTTCACAGTGAGCCTTGTTGATAAGAGCGATGAAAAATTCTGCTATCAAAGCAAGCTAGTATTTTTTAGGGTCACATAAACCCAAGCCTATTAGCTTATTTATAAATAAGCTATAAAACAGTGCTGGTAACAGTATGAAGGGGTGGACAGAAAAGGAGCATGCCAAACAGCACATTCGTGGCGTATTTGCTACGTGTCCGATGGTAAAGAGAACTTTCTAGCTGGAAGAACTTAATCTGAGGCAGCAGCTGATCAGAGAGAAACTCTCCTGATCCAAATGATTTTTGTGGCTTCTCATCTCAAGGAAAATTCTCCCCTTGTGCCCAAAGCCAAAATGTTTGTTACAAAAGAGCATGTAGCGAACGAGGCTGTCAAAACAAGAAAAACAATCAAATGCTATGTGAGGCTTATTTGTTTATTAGAGGCCTGAAATGATATTTAATGGTATTTTAATTAATGAGATCAGACATTTTAAAAAAGATCCAATAGCAAATTTTCTGTAGCTTTTCTTAAATGAAAGCTACTCTCAAATTTAGGGAGGGATTTAAAAGAGCCCGTGACAGCAGCCTGGCTCGAAGTAGCAGTGGGAAATCTGGGACATCATTTGAACGGTAAAATGATGTTTGCCTTGCAGAACATTCTATTTGCTTATTTAGAAAATACTGAGTTTTGTCTTCCATTTGCATGTGACTCCTTTAAACTTGTTCCTGATTTCCTTCTGTTTTAGCAATGACTTTTCTTTTTAACGTGATGCAAGCTGATTCAATCTTTCTAATCTATACTCTGCTTTTACACTTTCCAGCCTAAAATACAAGGGAAATCTCTTTCCAAACCCGAGGAAGTTAAATACAAACAAAGGACAGTCGTTCACCATTGCGTACCTTGCAGCCTACCTTGGGATGACTTTATACCTTCTATTGTAAAACTCCACACTTGTGAGACTTTAAAAGAACTACCTATGTTTGCAAGGCCAAACCATATTGAGCTTATTACTGAATCTGCTTTTGTAGAAGGCAGTTCTGAGATTGAGAAGCTGGCTGTTCTGAATGAATGCACTCTATATTTGACTGTCCAATAAAGTGTTCTGAATGCTGAGCTTGGCTGTTAGTCTGTTCTTTGTGTAATCGATTTAGTTTTTCTGAAATATAGCATTCTCTTAAAGGGACATGGTCAGGTTGCAGAACACAAAGCTTTGAGTTTTACTGAGCAATGAATAGGCTCGTGTTTAAGCCTGAACACACAAAGATAGGCTTGCACTAGCATAAAAAACCCCAGTAATTAAAATTGATCTGTTTAGTTTTTAAACAGATACAAAAGAATAAAGTAAATTCTGACTATGTCTCTTTAAGCTCTTTCCTTTCTATTCTCACTTATTTCACACTGTAATACAAAACTTTATTTCCAGCTGTATTTTTTCACATGGTGAGTTGGTTCTAGTGGTAAACTTGCAATGAACACTCGGTATACAACTTTCTTTTGTTACCTTCATCTTAGTGCATGTTTGCATGGTGACTGTGCATCCTTGTTGCTTTGTGCTGTTAGTTTTTTAAGACTTTCTCAGCTGAATTTGGAGTAATGCATGACTGGGAAACATGGGGTTTTTCAGAGTGTAAATAGTCTGACCTATAGCAGTGTTGACAAGTCTTTTAAAGACAGCTGGGACTTGTAAAAGGAAAATGGTTAGTCAGAAGTGGTCATATCTCCAGTAAAGTGAATGCTGATCACTTAAAATTAGCAGATTATTTTCTTACTTACATACATCTAGTTTCAGTAGAGGTCCTCTGTTTTGTTATACCTCACAGAGTTTGCCTTTATTACTTGAGCGCTACATCTCTTACAGTGGTCTGTACAGTGCATTCAGTATAGCTTTGAAGAAAGCAGGGTGAATAGGGACAGCAGAGTACCTATGGCAGCATAGAGCTAAGGGATGGCACAAAACCCATCTGGAAACTAATCCCGTGTTGGGCCTGGCATTGTTGTAGCTGTTGTCTCGCCAGCCAAGTTAGCCACCTTGAAAATAGCCCTGCACAAACTGAATGCACATCTTGGCTCACAGAGCTTCGAAGCTGTGAGCCTGATGGATGATAAACTCCATAAGAGCTTCTAAGTATGGTAGCAAACGCCTTGTTCCCAGTCTGGTAACTCCACTGCTGGGTGCGAACTGGACAAGAATCCAGCTCCCTGTGACACCCATGAGTGCATTATCACTGGCCCTTTCAGCAGAGCAGGTTTGGAGCAACACTTGGTGGGGTCCTTTTTTATCCTTCTCTGCACTTCCACCTCTTGCAGTCACTTGCTTAAAGCCACAGTTTCTTTTCTTATTACACTGAAGCAGTTATGAAACTCAGTAATTAAGAATATGGTTTCTTCATCTTGTAAACATCTCTTTTTTTGGTGCCACATTAGATAATATAAGGGGATTAATTATTGATTTCTTGATTTTGCTTGTAAATTCCGATCCCAAAGCTTAGTTTGCCATTTTAAATTTTTTTTTTTGTGCCACATTAGATAACATAAGGGGATTAATGATTGATTTCTTGACTTTGCTTGTAAATTCTGATCCCAAAGCTTAGTTTGCCATTTTAAATTTAAATGAGGATGATGGCAAAAAAAGTAGTCGGTGATTTGTGTTGCATGCATGCACTTTACTCTCTTTGTTGTATTAAATAAATCCTTAAAAGGTGATGAAGAAGAGACGGCTGAAGTCCCTGAAGCAGAGACAGCCACGGAAGAGGCTGCTGCAGCAGCTGCTGCTGGACCTGCAGCACAGGATGAGAGTGCTGGGGTGTCCCCAGAAACTGGAGGGGAGACTGACTTACCGGCTCCAGATGCATCCCCTGCTGTGGAGGAAGCACAGCAGGAAGCTGCTGCTAATTTGGAAGTTGCTGCTAATTCAGAAGCTGCTGCAGTGCAAGGTTAACTTATGAATGCCATTTTTACGTGTGTGTGTGTGTTGTGGGTTCTAAAACTCTGCCTTTTACTACAAAACATTAAGAACAAGCATCAGTGTTCCTAATGGAGTTTGTCCTGCAGTGAAAACTAATTCAGGTGTTACCTTGACATATCATGAGCATAAGGTAATTAAGTTTATTAAATCAATGTCTCTAAAGCATGCTGCCTGTGGCACCAGTTACTGTCTAAACCAGTAGAATGAGAAGTTTATTTTACTACCCCATTCTATTTCTCTTCTTCAAGTTCTTATATTAAGGTGAGAACGTAATATGCCTGGTTAAAGAGTTGTTTCAGTGTGCCTCTTACTACAGAACATTAAGAACAAGCATCAGTGTTCCTAATGGAGTTTGTCCTGCAGTGAAAACTAATTCAGGTGTTACCTTGACATATCATGAGCATAAGGTAATTAAGTTTATTAAATCAATGTCTCTAAAGCATGCTGCCTGTGGCACCAGTTACTGTCTAAAACAGTAGAATGAGAAGTTTATTTTACTACCCCATTCTATTTCTCTTCTTCAAGTTCTTATATTAAGGTGAGAACGTAATATGCCTGGTTAAAGAGTTGTTTCAGTGACCTGGTTCTTAAGGGTTTGCTAAGGAATCTGAACACTTGGTTTCAGTGGCCATTCCTAAGATATTCACACTAAACCATTACAGCTGTTCTGTCAATACAACTTCAGTAGAATCCTGCATAGCAACCAAAATGTTATCATGATCCCAATGCTAAGGATATACTAGGCTCAGAATTTCGAAACTCCATAAAACATCAAATTGGTATTAAACACTTAAATCAATTAGTGGTTACATAGTCAATATTTTGAACTGTCAGGGTGTTTGAAATATTTTGGTTTACTGTATGTTTAAAAAAATGACAACAATACAAATGCAAACCTATCCGTAAGTTGCACAAAATATACGATTATAATTTAACTTGATTTTTTTTTTTAGCAATTTTTTGTTCGTTTAATGCTAGTCTGTAAGGATAGAACAGTGGCCTATCCTCATACCTCTTGATTTGTTCAGCTGAAGTTGAAAGGGACACACATGAAGCAATTTCAGTTTCTCAGTTGATAGGAAAGCAACAAACATTGGCGTCTGCCCTGTTCAGTTGAAACAAACAAACAAAGAAACCCACAAAGATCTTGCCAGCCTATCATGAAAGAGAAACTTCATTCTAATCCTTGCTTTGGAAGGGAAGACTTCAACGTGGCTGTAGCAAGTATGGAAACCACTGAAGCGGTTTTCAGCTTGACTTAAACGTGGAATCTTTACTGCACACCTATGTTTGACTTCCTTTGGGAAAACAAACACCTACTTGAGAGGATATCTCTAAAACACAGGTCAAACTGTGATGAAAAGTGTTTTGACTTCTAGTCCATGGGAGGTTATCATACTGCCTTGAAAGGTTTTAGCAGAGTCCGAAATTGTTTTTGCATTTTTTCCTTGGTGACTCCAGTGTGGAATGGATGCATCTTAATTGCCTTTTTTACAAATGAACTTGAGAAATGAGGCAGCACTTCAAAGGGCTGACTTTGTGAAAGGTCTAGGTGTGAATAGGATTTTAATACCTGGGTGAGTAGCTCCTGTGCTTGTCTGCAAAACGATCCATTACAAAATAACATTTTAAAACAATACTTGGTCCAATGTGCTAAAGGTAATGTAGCTAATAAAAAATACAAGTAAGTATATTTGTAGTGACTATTACTGTTTAGATATAAAAAAATACTTATAAGGTACCAGTTAAAGTTCCTAGAGCCTTAAAAATTTCCATTTCTATGCAATATTTAGACCATTTCATTTGGAAAGGAAGGAGTCTGGTATATGTTGAAGTTAGTGAATTAGAGCTGTTAAGAGATACAAGATGTTTTAAAATGTCCTGCAGTGTTTACCTCCACAGAGCAATCTCAAAATTTCATTTTAAGGAGTGGGTGCTTGCTTGTATCTAGAAGTGGCTGAATATTCCTTTCACAATGCTTACCTAGGAATATTTGTTAATTGTTGGATAGGGTAGGATCTTCCATATGTAAAATATTTCTGCTGCTCTATTGAAGAGGAAGGAGCCAGGGTTTTCCATCAGAAGTGTTGTGCATTGGTGAATTAATTTAAGAATCTAATTCTAGACACAGTGACTTCCTGTAGAAACGGTCACAATTTTGTAAGATGAAATATATCTTGTAACTTAGTTACTGCTGGGGTTGACTGGAAGTGGAGGTACTATTCAGAAATTACTGATTTCTTAGATCTGTTTTCTCTGTCAACACGCTTCCTGAAGAAAACAGCAGTAGGACAGCACTTCTGTCCCGTTGATATTTATAAGGGAATGTGGGGGTCGTTTCAGGTGTCAAATCTTGCTGCAGGGGTTGTTCTTTGCTGTGTGGTAAAGCTGGTGGGAACCAACCTGGGGGACAGAAAATTGTTGAGAAACTTCTGCGTGTTGTTTCAGCCCTCTTTCTTCCAGCCTCTAATCAGGGTATCACATATTAGCTAAAGCATTTGGTATGGAGCAGCAGAAGCTGGACTTCCCTTCAGTGATTACTGGTTTCTAGAGCCAGGGAGTGTAGCCTTGCCTGATCTTGGTGTTTCTGGGATGTTCAAACTTGCTTCTGAGAGCGGTTCTCTCGTGCCAGCGGTCAGCAGTGAAGGCTGTTGTAAATAACCGTTCATAACAGGTGTTCCTCAGTCAAGGGTGAACCCTGTGGATCTCACCAGCAGTTCATGTGAGGTTCCTCCTCCGGGGCTGTGTCCCGCTGTGACTGTCCTGTAACCGGAGTCCTGCCACCAGGTCACCTTAGCGTTTGGCTGCTCCTCTCCTCCAGGCCCCCTCTGCAGCAGAAGAGCACGACCGGTTCTTCCCTCACATCTCCGAGGAACTGACAGGGGCCTCTGGCTCCTGACCACGTGGAGGGTTTAACAAGCAGCACGTGGTCTTGCACGCACAAGCTTAAACCAGTATCCTTTTCCTTTCAGCTAGGTAAAACCTAGTTTCCACTGGCATAATAACTCAAAATATAAGCAGGTGGTATTTGGATTCAAAAGCTCTATGTACCACTTTGTTCAGTGCTTACCTGCAGTCAACAGCTACTTGTGTTTTTTTAAAAAATAATTATTTAATTAAAACCCTTCTGGAAGTAACCCTTCCATTTTGTACTTAACAGTCTTCATCATTTCTGTCCTCTATCTGTGTTATTACATTTCTGCTGAGGTAGAGAATTTTCTTTGAGAACTGCCAAGGGAAAGGCAGGCTTACTTTGAAAAAGAGTATTTATTTAAATAACTCCCATTAGCTTTGTTGGTAGCTTGGTGTTACTTCTGAAGATGAAGGTGCAAGTATTTTTATTGTTACCTCTGCTTTTTCAAATGCAATTTTTTCTTTTAATCTGTAAGGCTTTCTATTATAAGTTTGAAAGTGAGGGGCGCCGATGGTTGTTTGTCTCCAGCTCCAGTATGCATACATTTATATATACAGACAACACAAATGGGTGATTATACATGGATGTGCAAAAAAAAAAGACCAAAAAAACCAAAACCCAACAAAACAACCCACAATCTTGGAGGTAGGTACTTTATCAAGGTAATTTTCAATTTTAGAAAGTTAATTGCAATTGTACCTGGCTGGAATTTTCTCCTTGCCTCAATTTAAGCAATTTACAACCCATTACTGGTATCTGGAATTCTGTGAATACTGTTGCCAAAAAAATACTGTGCACGTAACTCTGTTCCCAAGGTTTTAGCTTCCTCTAAATTCTAGTTTTTTTATACCTTTTTATTACTTCAGCTGTTGTGCCGTCACTCTTGGTTACTGCCTGATGCTGCTAAGTTTCCTGCTGTTCTCCTACTGAACTCTGTGTCTGGGGACAGTAAATTAAGATCAATTAGTCTTCGGATAGAACAAATGCTATAAAATGCACAGGCTGGCGAGCTGCTGTTTGGATTTTAGGCAATGTGGTTGCATCTGTGACTTGTAGTTTTTGTATTGCTGCTATAAACTGTTCTCCAACTCTAGTATTGAAGCTTGAGGTTTTGGCATCATCAACGGGAATTGCAAAAGCAATGAGCTTTCCTGGACTCCTGACTTCTGCAGTGTAGGTTTTCTTCTAATTTTGTGAGTACTGAAGGATGTGGTCTCTTCTCTTGTTATTTTGGACGCGGTTTGAGTGAGTAACTAGATTTGGGGAGGCTTAGGGTGTGAATGCGCCAGAGTTTTCCACGTTCAGCTTCGGATGGCACTACAATGCCAGCTGTCTGCAGCCTAGAGAAACAAATCCAGGCTGGGCTGGCCAGGAGTTACAGCTTGCTGGGCAGGACTTCTGCTGACCCCATGGCACAGTGATGCCAGGCAGACAAAAACACCCAACGCCATCAAGGTACAACCCAGTGTACCTTGTTTTTTCCCTTGGGAAGTTGCCAAACTCTGGGTGCGAGTTCAAATGCTCTGACACCAGGAGTATTTGGAAGAGTCCTCAGAGTTGTTTGCAATCACTGGTGTTTACTCAGAGGCTTTCAGAATGGCGTTGCTCAGTGGAACAAACATGTCCTTCTAGGTGCTTGGTTGCATGGGATGGAGGAAGGAGGAGAAGCTGTGCCACCTGCAGCTCTTCACAGCCTTAGGTGCTGAGGTGAGATGTAGCTTGGTTACCCCTGGACAGACCTCATCCCTGATGATTATACCACTTGTTCTCACTTGGACCTCATGAAAATAACTACACTTTTCTTTTTCTTCTCTTATCGACCTTGCTTGGATAGATAGGAAGCATCTCATAACAAGGCTAGTATCTTCCATTTTCAGACGTATAATGTCAAGGCATGAAATGGGTCTTTAGATTGGTGTAACAGCAGCAGATAGAACCAGGGAAAGTATTCATATCATCTGATGAAATCTGTGCTTAATTACCAACTGTAATAAAGGTTTTCTATTCCCAATTTCCTCTTAGAGGATTTTTTTCTCTTCATTGATTGTGGTAAA